CACCTTAGTCTCCAGATTGACATCATTGCTCTTCAGTACTTTGGAGAGGTCCCTAACAGCAGACTTGCCCATCACAACGTGTCTTTTAATTTCCTGGATGCTGGTGCCAAGAGTGTTGACTGTGGAACCAAGCTAACTAAAGCTGTGAACAATGTCAGTCTCTTCACCATCCATCCTGATGCTGCCAATTGGCCCAGTGAACACTGCATGGTTTAAAATTAGGAAAGATGTGGGTTAGGGCTTTATTCTTTCTTCAACATATTAGTGTGCATGTTGAGTAAATTATTTGAGAAGCTGGACACTGTGAAAAGCTGTAGAATTAGACGAAAATTCATCAATAATTTTCCTTAAGTGGATAACACAATCTTGCTTGCTAAAAGTGAGGAGGACTTGATGCATTTGCTGCAGAAAATTAAACACTGCAGTCTTCAATATGGATTGAACTTCAGCATCCAAAAAACCCACAATACCTCACCCCTGAACCTACAGGCAACATCATGATAGAGAAAAGATTTAATCTGTCAACAATTTCACATTACTTGGATCCACAATTAATACACTTGCTGCAAGCCTTCAAGAGATCAGGAGAAGCATTGTATCTGAAAGTCTGTAGTCAGCTCCTTTCCAAATTATTAAAGAGCAATGATGTCAGCTTGTGGACTAAGATCTGGAAAGATTACAAAGCATCTAAGAACTGTAAGATCATTGGTGGCCATTAAGTTTGTTACTATTCTTGTTGCACAGGTATAGAAGGATAGGCTCCACATCAAGGCACTGACAACTCCAGACACCTTTGTCTTTCACAGATACTAGAGATGAGCAAACTTACTGGATGCATTAATAAAGGTATATAAGTTCATGATCCTATCTATGGTCCAGTTCTACAGTGTGAGAACAAACCAAGAAGAAAAAAATTTAGAGCAGTGTATGGAGCAGTTTGTTTCATGTTCCCATTGAAATGAAAGACTCAGAGGAGGAAGAGAATATCTCGAGAATGGGGTACTCCAGGCAGTCCAGCAGTGGGTAACCATAGCGTGCCTTTTATGTTGTTGAAGGACTTCTGCAATGAAATGAGTAATGATGCCAATTCACATAAGGAGTGTATCCAATACAGAGAATGAGAATAAAATAGATTTTTTCAAAAATCATGTTTGGAGATGCAGGTGATATCATTGGAGAGATAAATAGGAGATTTATTATTAGGTCAGCCTATTCTCTGGGTTGTGTTTGTTGTTAGTTGTCTTTGGGTAACTCTGACTCATGACAACATTTTATACAAGACAACGATCAAATGTCACCTCATGGTTGATGATGTGTTTGACCTCATTTTTTGAGTCTTTGTATTAGTTCAATTCATGGAAAGTTTCCCTTGCTGACCATTTACTTTTAAAAAATGCCTTTTTTTCTAATAAATGATCTTTCCTTTTTAAGAGTTCGATTTAAAAATCAGCAAAGGTGGGCACCAGGTTTATATTGTACCTACATACCTGTTCAATTTTTTAATTGATAATCTGAATGCGTGAAAAAGATTTTGGCATCAAGATTGCAGGAATACTAATCAACAACGTAAGTTATGCAGTTGACACAATCTTCTTGCATAAAACAAAGATTTAAGGTATTCCCTGAAAGAGATAAATAGTTACATACTTACTGAATTAAAAAGCTGTAGACTTCCAATGGATTACATCTCAATATTTTAAAAAAAAAAAAGCCAAACACAAAACCTTCACCACTGTACCAATAAGCAACATCATGATAGTTGAAGAAAAGATTAAAGTTGTCTAATATCTTCTTACTTGGATCAAGAATTAACCTTTGTGGAATCAGTAGTCCAAAAGTGAAAATATGAGTTGCACTGGAAAATCTACTATCAAGGACCTCTTCAAAGTGTTAAAGAGTAAGGATGTCAGCTTAAAAATAGGACGTGCCTGATTCAAACTGTGGCATTTTCCATTGCTTCATAAGCAAGCAACCTGCTCTCTGCTCAGCACACAGTTCCGCACCAGACCTGCATCTGTTCGATGTCATACAGCCTGGAGTGCCATCATTACTGGGGAACAGAAAGATAATGAGTGAAGAGACTGGAGCCTAAGCCATCATTTCGGGTTGAATTCAATAAAGTTTCTGCAGAGTAGAGGATGGGAAGAAACACTCTTAAGCCCATTTTCAATCATGGAAACCTATAGTAAATAATTCAAGGATCTCTTACGTATTTTGTCAGGAATTTTGTATCATCTGGATAGATTCCAAGGCTGATTTAGAAAGTGTCAGTGATTTTTTTACCCTGACTCTCAGTTTTCTCTTTCTTGTGTCTTCTTGTCTACCAAATATTTCCAATTTAAGTCCTTCATTTTTGCATACTCTTTACTTTGTATTAAATTGCTCATCACAGTTCCGTACTTAAGCCACAGTTAAGCCAGCAGCAATCAAATTTAAACCCACCCACCCTCCCGCCCCACTTAAAGAACGTTCTGTATTTCCTACCTGGTACTCTGTTTTCTAATCAGGCTCCTAATCTGTGGCACAGAAATCGTTATCCTATTTTAAAGACCATTTTTTAAATTTAACTTTCTTCTTCTTATTATTATTATTCATTTTAATGAAAGTTTACAGAGACTTTGGATTTCCATTCATTCATTGTTGCACTTTTCTCTCTGCCCACCTCCTTCCCCCACCTCCCAGTTCTCTCTTCTCTTTGAAAAGTTTTATGTGTGTGCCTGTTGCTATGAACTGCCCAAAGTGTCTTAGCTGTATCTCAGAACTTTTGGTATGTTGTATTTTAATTTTCATTTGTTTCAAGGAACTTTTACATTTCATTCTTTATTTCTCTTAGTGACTAATCATGTTCTAGCAAAGAGTTATTTTACTTCCACATGAATGATTTTGTAAGCTTTACCTTCTTGTGGTTAATTTCTAGTTTTATGACATTATGATGTGTGAAGATACTTTTTATTATTTCAATATTTTTTAATTTGTTGAGGCTTGCTTTGTGTTCTAATACATGATCAACTCTGCAGAATATATCATGTTCAATTGAGAAGAAAGTTAAGTGAATTTTATTTGGATGAATTATCCTGAAAATATCCACAATGTTGAGTTGGCTGAGTGTATAGGTTAGGTCTTCTGCATCTTTCTTGAGTTTCTTTTGTGTTGATAGTGTTGTGTTGAAAATTCATATCATTATTGTGCTGCTCTCTAACTCTGTTAACCATTATTTTATGTATTTTGCAGGTCTATCACTGTTGCATAAAGGTTGACAATGCTTATGTCTTCTTGAGCTACTGTACCTTTAATCTGTATTTAATGCCCTTCCTTATCTTTGATTGTGGTTTTCCTTCTGAGATTTATTTTATCAGAAATTAGTATTGCCTTTCCTGCTTTTTTGAGGTTGTTATTTGCTTAGTATATTTTTTTCCCAACCTTCGATTTTGAGTGGCTCTTCTTTTTTTGGATGTGGCTCTTTTAGGCAACATACAGATAGGCTTTGTTTTTACGTCCATTCTACTATTTTTTTCCTCTTTATCTGTACATTTAATCCATTCACATTAAGTGTGATTGTTCTCAGGTCAGGTTTTACCATTGTCATTTTGTTGTGTTTCTTCTCCTGTTGTTTGTGATTACTGTCATCTATCAACTTTCCTTTGTCCTCTCCATGTGAAGAACTTAGCATTGCTTGTAGTTTTGGTCTTGTTTTCACAAATT